TAAAGTTCAATTCTGCATCATTTAGAATTCATATTTAAAATAATTTTTTTTTTTTTTTTTAAGTAGTTAGTATACAGAATACATTGAACTTGAAGCGTAATCAGATGTGATCACAAAAAAAAACCAGACTGGCTGCAAAGATGTCAGATAAGAAAAGAAAATCTTTAATTTTAAATTATTAATGTATTGAGATATCTATATTTTAAACAAACCCATGACCACATTATTCACTCAGTTGAAAAATACTTTATAAATTGGGATTGAACATATTTTCCTTAGTGTTAAATTACGACAGAACCACTTTACTCGACCACATTGGTTCAGTAGTTACATTCGTTTGTACATTTCAAGTTTAAATACAAAGTATAATTCGACATCGTGTCGTTTTCTAGATGTGAATGGTAAATTATTCACCTGCAGTATTATAAAATAATTTATAATGGTTTTTTAGAGTTCCTTGTGTCATTTATATTATTTTACATAACTTCGAAGATTAACAAGTCAAAATGGTGAACAGGTTTTTGAACTCATCGATGTTCATATATACATATTTATTAACCTTGAAATGGCAGAAAGCAATACAAAGCATGAACTTTGTTCTTATTATTATTTTCATTTGATAAAATAAAAAAATACCAACAATTGGTTTTGTGAACTAAAAATGCGAATTGTTATTAATGTGACAATTTATAATTATATAACCTAAATAAGTAAATTCGATTATGATTTATTTCTCTTAATTATCAATTATACTGTTTTTAGTGTATCAGCTAGTTACTGTAAATAAATCACTGTATTTTTGTTCAGGTCCGTTTATTAATTATAAATAAAGCAAATATCGGCAATTTAAATCCTACATAATCCTTTTAAATATTTTAAGAAGTAAAAACATTATAAATTAGCTTTATAAGTATTTCAATTGTTATGACTCTTATACATGATCAATGTTTTGAGAAAAAAATTACCTCTATGACACGACTCATAAATCTATATTCTCCAAAACATTATTTTTAATATCTTACTCGTCGAAGATTTATTCGACAAATCAGTCAACCATAACATTTTATTGCCAACGTGTATTTCCATATGAATCTGATTATTTTTAAAGTTATATTGAAATAAAATATTCTTTAATTATTTATTACTTTATTTACCAAACCGAATTTATTTTTTTGTTATGAAGTTTAACATCTTATCTATGGGGGCTCCGATATAATATTTTTGTTTTTTAAATTTGTTTATATTTTAACCCTTTTAGCCCCCATAGAAAGATTAATAAACTTTAAAAAAAAATAATAATAAAATTTGTTCAATAGATACACCAGAAAAGGACTTCTACAAAAGCCATTTTTTTATGATACTATTTACTAGCTATAACTCGGAGAAAAATAACTTAAAATGTTTTACAACTTGTGAAACTTAACATTTTTTCTCCTTAATTGGTCGGCATATTTAAAAGAGCTACTAGATCAATTTTGACAAACCTTTGTCCCTTAATAAATTGTTCTTTCCGTTATCCTTAAGGGAATAAAAAAATATAGTGGGTACACAATTGTTATTTTCAAGTAGATTCTTTACTTACTGTAAAATGTAAAAGGCATTTTAAGATAACTAGTAGATAATTGTAATATGTTACATTGGAAATAACCTCATTCTTAGAACTATTTACTTGGTGTCACGTTCAACAGGTTTTCAATGTTGTAAGTAATTGATTTGTGATTTGAAATGATTACTGCAGAGACATCTGAGGTACCTATCAGGTCTTTTTCTAATCGAGTTTTGCCAGTAGGTCGGATTTTGATTATTGGAGATTAAACAATGTTGTAAGATGATCGATGACATTTGTTACAGCGTTAATTAACAGCGTTGACATTTTCCTTGCTTTAAAAGTCTGTGCGTGCAAAGGGGGATAATAATTACCAGCCTATGTATGTATTATGATGTGGTAATCGATACAAATTACCAAAGAAATGGTACTGGAATATTGACTATTATTAATAAAGACGTGGAGATTAGTGGAGGAACAGGATATTGCTACCGACCCAACATTTTTGGAAAAAAATGAATAAAAGGGAGAAACATAATATTGATAAAACAAAATAAACAAGGTAATTTTTTCAACAAGGTAAAGTTTTTAGTTAGTTTAACAATGTGTTCAAAGTTCAACAAGTTTTAAAAACGATAAACTCCATAAAATTAAAAATATGATTTAACATTTTTAAATCCCAATGGAAAAAGTAAATTATATTATTACTAAAGAAAAGTAGGACTCATCCTATTGTCATTTTATATTCAACATTTTTTTAAACATATTTATTTGCCTACTTAATTACTACCAATGATAAATAGTTGTTTATATTTTGTATGTATTGTGAATTATAAGCTAATAATAATTTTATTAAATCATAATAACAATTAAAGTGGTTCGCTAGAATGCTATTTTTTGTATTATACGCAAGTACTCATTTAGTGACGACGAGGACTTAAGTGCTCAATCAAAGCACTCATTATCCCGGTGGACCGTTTTGTAGAAAATTACTGTTTCTAATTGACGTGAAATAAAATAATTATGATTTATATACGCATAGGTAATAATATCCAAGGTTTTGAGATTAATAATTTACGAATGAATGATACACGCTGCGTTTATTAAATTAACAATAATTTTTCAGAACAATCGAAGTAAATCTATAATCCGCGTGTGTACGACCTCGTCACTTTAAAATATATTTTCCGTCTTTTAAGGTCATTTAAACATTTTCTTCTACGCATTATTTGGATATAGTCTATCCGCCGCATAGGCGAGCGCACGGGTAGGACTGATTGGGCTTTAACCTGAGCCTTTTTTTATACGTGGGTGGGTACTTGGTACCTTATGAAGTTATGACTAAAAGTAGGTAGAACCCTTTATAAATAGAAAATAGCTATATAAATTTATAAGTACAATGGTTTTTGTATATGGTTAAAAAAATAATTTAAAAAATTTAATCTTCAAAATTATCAATAGTCAACTGTCAATACATGATTGTTATACGTTCAGGTCTATCGGTCTGATGATGAAAAATATGAAAAAATATACAACAATGTTATAAAAATGTGCGATGAAAATAATATTGACATTCCTGATGTAAAGAAACGAAAAATATCAAAAAAGGTTGATGACAACCACGATCATCAATATTTTGAGGAAACTAAAAAAGATGAAATGAAACATTCTTGCTTTTATTTTGCACTTGATCAAATTATATCTGGTTAAACGTTCGATTCAATCAAGAAAGTCTTAAACTAATCGAAGGGGTTGGAAATTTTGGTTAATCTCGAGACTACAGAAGAAGATATTTTATATTTTAAAACTTTATTTGACATTAATGTTAATGTAATAAAATCTAAAATAAAATTATTAAAAAACATGGCCGACACTGAAACATCGAAAGGAACATCAACTAAAGAAGTTTACGTTTGGATAAAATGGCTCAACGAGAGAGATCGACTAACTATTTTTAAAAATGTTTTAATTGTTCTTAAGTCATTCGTTACTATTCCTGTTACAAGCTGTGGCTGTGAACGGGCATTTTCGAAACTCAGTGTTATTAAAACCAAGCTTCGATCCACAATGAACCAAGAAAGATTGGATGCTCTTTTATATAATATGTTTATCGATCAAGAAGAAACGGGTAACATCAACCATGATCATCAACCATTGATGGATTTAAACATTTAATTGAAGACATTTTGTAGAATTATTTTATAAAGTATAATAATTACATTTTTTTTATTTGACAGTATAATAATTTTATGTAATGTGTATTCATACAAATTACATAATGAACAATTTATAATTATGAATAATTTTTTTCTTTTGTGACCATGACAGGGGGGGGGGGTAGTCAGATTCATTTAGCCATACCTGACTCAGAAGTCTGCGCACGCCTTTGACTGTCTATGTGTACATAGGGTCGTGACAAAACGACAAGTAGTCAACAACTTACCGTGATAGTAAAATATAATACTATCTCAAACAGTAACGCAAATTTGTCAAATGTCAAATGTTATTAATTAACACCTATTAAAAGTATTTAATGCAGCTGTGACTATTATAGAGATCCGGTGGTATACGATTGTGTTGTATTATTTGATTTCTAATCGTTGCGGAGAGGCTTACACATCTATACTAAAGGTGAAAACTCGTTTGCGCACATCGTTATCGCTTATCTTATATATTATAATTTAAGGTCAGACCTATTGTTATGTACCCGAAAAAGCTACTCGGTTGCGCATAAATCAGCACGACCTGTAATTCAAATAGACATAGGACATAATAATATTATGTATAACAAAAAAAAACAATTCGATGAAATTACATCAGCGATTATTATTATTATGTTGTTTTAACGAGTAAACAAACGTATAGAGGAACGTTTTGCGCGTGCCTAGCGGCTCTTGCACACAAAACGCGACACTTCAATTAATGTTTTCCCAGTGTCAAACGATGTCGTGTTGCCCGTTCAACGTTGACACCACAACGCTCAACCCCCCGTTGATGACACGTGATTTGTTTGTTGTATTTCGTTTAACGGCCTAACGTGGGCAGCATTTGCAGGCGATCGTCAACAGCTTTGAAACATTATTTACTATAATGCGTGCGTGAACGTATTTTCGACGTACGGCAATGGCAATAACAATTATATTGCGGTTTAGACAACAGCTATACTGTGCAATTGTCGCCGTAGTTCGTCTTTACAGCACGTCTTCACGCCATCAATATAAAGGCTACTTATTATATATTATTGTATTTTTTTTTTTATAGGTTTTGAAACTTAAAAATACCATTTGTCGGTAGAATATTCTGTATAATTCGCTTTGGTCGTGCACACTGGTCGTCCACACTGGCGGGACGAAAGACACGCGGAGTGGGAGCCGAGTCGGTTGCTCAAAGCGTTTTGCAAGCGTCTCGGCGGCGCGCCGAGTGAAAGGATGAGCAGCCGCGCTCGGACCAGGAGCAGGAGGGATACTGTGCGTGTATGTCCTGTCGCAAGGTTGTCCGACGGATCGCCACTCAATATTTTCATCCGCTACTGTGTCGTACCGTCGCTCTAGTTCGCCTCGCGCCGTCGACGCCGGCGGTGAAAATGATAGAGACAATATTGGCTGTTACGCGCGCAACGCAAACGACTTACGTTCACGATACCGTCGTTAGTGGTGGTGTTGTTGTTGTTGTTGTTGTTGCTGCTGCGGTCTTTTGCCAATAGTGATAATATTAGCAATTATCGACAAATTAGAATAATTCAATTAGTGATATTTACAATTTATTAATCTCGGTAAACAGCGCGGCCGCCTCTGTTTGTCGAGTAGCAGGCAAACACCGTAATTAACAACACAGGTGCGACAATTCGCAAACAACCGCGTGACGTTGCGCGCTCGATCTGCGGATATCACAGGCAAAGGCTCGCGCCTTTGAGTACTTTTTGCCGGTATTCAATCGCGACAAGATGAACCGCGCGCATCTGCTTATCGTGTGTCTTTCGCTGTTTGCGTGGACGTTATGCGACGGCGCCAGGTCCGTCGAGCGCAAATCACCGAAACCGTTTGCCACGACCCGCCAGCAATTATGGCGGACGGCCGTGGCCAGCGACCACAGGCCGTTGACTAGGCGCAATTGGAGGGCTAACGGCAAGCCTGGCTATTTCGGGAACGACCACGTACTGGCCCGCCGGCAATGGAATTACATGACGTCCACCGTGCTACCGGCCATCACGCGGCCCTGGAAATCGCTGTCGGAAAAACTGGAATCCAATTCCATGTGGCCCGGCATGAGCAGAATCGCTAACGAGGCGTACTTACTTAACACCACGGTAAGTTCACAACGTAATAAGTCACTTATTATAAGTGTACTGTAAAATATACAGCTGGTAATTAATTCATGAAAATTTAAAGACATCACAATTACATAATATTGAAAACTCTGACAATGCCATAAGTGATATGACAAGTGTAGAATTTTTAATTGAAATTATTTAAAGTATTTTCAACCAAAAAATATATTTTGTATATTTTGTAAATATTTTTTTACTAAAAACAATCAATTCTAGGTGTAATTGTAAATAAACTTGAAATTGTGAAAAAAATTACAAAAATAAAATAATTTTTAATAATTAAAAGCATACTGTAAAAGTAATTTGTTTTGTTGATATCACGATTTGAACGTATCCCATAAAATCAGGAAAATATATACTATATTGAGTTATTCCAACAAGTAATTCTTAATTAAACTGTACAGAAATAATTATCCAGTAAACAGTTTGTTGGGACTTATACCGATTATGTTATCTTATTATTAGACCTATTTTTACTATTCTGTTTAAAAAATAAACTCTTTCCTGAGTTATTTATTTCGGAACTTGTCAGAAATCGAACGGTTTTAATAAGTTTCGGAAGAAGAAGCTCTGTCAAAATCGATTAACACAATATGTAAATATGTCTATATACATTTAGAAAATAGATTATCATATTGATACGTTGTTTTTAGCTAAAGGAAACGCTACAACCTCGCCACCTATTTATTAAAGAGTAAATTATTGGAAATTGTTCAACAAAACTTATAATCCAGTTAAAATGTTCAAAATCACACACTTATAAAGCAAAATAAAATCCATATTGGTATATTGTAAAGAAAATTCCTCAAGGATATCAAATAGATGCCAGTAAATCAACATGCAGGTTTCCTGATTCAGTTAACTACTTCGTAGGAAAATCCAAACAGATTTCTCATATTGTAGGGACAAGTTATTCCTGTATGGTTCCAAGGAACAAAATCATGACTCATAAATTAAAATACCTAAACGAAATCTTAGGTGGTCCGATACGACTTCTTACTCAGGGTCTCATTGGGCATATCCTATAGACTCCATTGATACGTAAACGGTTTTTTTTTTAAGTAAAATATAATAATAAATTAGTACTTTAAAACCAATAACACATATCACCGTTTCGTATATGAAAATATTTTTTGTATTAATATGTAAAACTAACATTTGTGTTTTATGCCATCAATAATTTTAAAAAAAACTTCACTTGTTATAATATTTAAGTGAGCTTATGAAGCAAAAAATTACCATACATGTTTAGCGCAAATAACAATTAAACGTGTGTAATTAGCTGGTTAATACAAATAATGAAAGAACAAATATACTATTTATTTTTAGAAAGGGATATTATTAGAGAATTAATTATGTTAATAGTATATTATGTTAGTCAAATAGATGATTAATTTTCGTGTTTTTTATGTCAAATTATAACTAAATAAACATACAAGCGCAAAGAAATCCTAAATCAAATCGAACAACTACCTATATTTGTATAGTTATTTGATATTTTTATATCAAAATAAAAAATATCAATAAGAATTAAAAGTAATTTTAAAGCACATTAACCAACCAGTTATATGGTTTTATTTTAATATTGTGATCAGTTAAGCAATTATCATTTTTTATTTTTAATGCTAAAAAAAAAGTCATCGATGAAACGAAGAATACTTTTGTTAAACTTTATACCTATACTTATTTAGAATTTAACCGAATAAATTAGGTGTTAATTGTTATAATATGATCTTTGCTAAGAACGCGGTAGTCGGTATACACACTTAAATGTACAATTTAACTAGTATTACATAATAGTAAATGATAACTATATACTGTCTGATAATAAAAAAATTCCTAAATTACATTAAATGTGTAGTTTTTAAAATGTATAAAGGTAGTTCAACATTTGAATTGATTTATAAACTTTCTGAACACGAATAGGTTTTATTTTTTAAACAAATCGGGTGATTTCAATCTTTTTGAAATTAATTTGTTTGTTTTGATTTTTCTTTTTTTGGTTCCTATATTTTTAAGAACAAAACAAAATGATGAACTGCTTTAGATGTAGGTATAGTTTGACGCCTAAATAGCTCATAGGCTTGTATTTGAAAATGATTACACTATATGACCTAGATGCTTTTGAATAATTATTATTGTTATTACACATTTATCGAGTGTTGTAAAAACGAACATATTTTTTTTTCATCGCATTTATACTGACATAATAAATGCAAACGCAAATAATGGCTTCCGCAATAAAATAGAATCACTTGACAGAGTATAATATCAAATAAGACACATGATATACATAGAGTTCACACGCTATCGTGTATGGTACTTGAAAACAAATCGTTACACAATGATAGGTACACAAAATGCAAGTTCAAGGTCAAATTTTTTTTCCCATAAACAATCAACTCAAACGAAAATCTCGCCTAGAACAACCAACGGGTTTAGTTGAATATTATTAATCTTTTTATTCGAGAGAGCTAGATGTTTTTTTTTTATTAGACAATATTCAAATACTTGATAACAAGTACTTAACGGTATCAATAAACTTTAGAGCATCAATATTAAAAAGTTATATTATCAAAATTCGTTTCTGTTTCTGTTACTCAGCGCCACTTTTCCTTGTAACGTTTTTCCAGGCCAATCGAATTTCTTTAAGTTGTAAAGGCTAAAACTTTTGAGTAAGTACACACTTGCAAACATTGATACATGTTATATAGATCCGATTTTATCAGAATGTTACACGCGTGTTGTTTTTTTTTTTAATTATTTGTTTATGTTGTTCGACGATTTTGTTTTTATAATAATATAAATAATTACAGCCAATAGTGCCCTCAAGTCGAATAATTTGAATTGGAAAAATAATATCGTGTGTCGTTTTGCAAAACATAAAACCTTAAAATGCGTTAAGAAAAAAAAACAAATCTTTGCGACAACATAATAATTGGTAAAATATTTGTTTCGTGTATACGGACCGGTTTATGTATTTACGAAATAGTTTTTTTCCTTCGATTATTATACAAAATGCATAATATTATGTTCAATTTTTATCTCGTTATTAGAGTTATAGAACGACTTGGACTCGTTGCGCGTTTATTATATTCCATAACCCAAGAGACGACCTTGTACCAGAAATGTATCATAAAATCTAACAAGTGATTCTTAAGTGTGTACATACTTAATTTTATACTATTTTGTGGTAATGCGCCTGACGGGCGGCTCTGTACGCTTCCTCGGCGTGAAAGCCAACCGCGCTGTTACAATCGAAATGATAACGCAGAATCCAAAGGCGTATTTAGCATGAACGTTAATGAATGTCTTTTTAAGTATAAAAAAAAAATATATATATATATATGTTTATTTACCCAATACCGGTACAAGTGTTTTGATTTGTGTCCGTCCGACGGCTGTTCGGTCAACCCTCCTCCTATGGTAGATACACACAAGTACCCTGTACGAGTCACGACTAAACGCGTCTTTCAATCTCAATGGCCGCCGTTTGTCCTTCGATCAAAATATATTCTAAAATACTACTTAATAATGTGTATGTATTGATTTCCATAAATAAACACACACACACACAAGTCAGTTGGATCGGAATCGCGTGTAAAAGAACCCGCGTGACCTCTCGGCACGTTGGTGGGATTCACGGTTCACCAAGAAAAACAACTTGCAACACAAACGTCTTGGGTTCTGACACAACTACCTAGCATTACACGATTAAAGAGCAAACGAGTGTGTGAAAATCGTGGGAACCGTCTTTTGATACGAACAACAAACATTTAGGTTTCACAATTTTCTAATAATCGAGTTACATTTTGTTTAGTATACTTGGGAAAGTTACCTCCGAAAGATGGGTAGATCCCATTTAAAGGTAAAAAAAAAAATAATCTATTTTTTTATTCGAGTAGGTATTTTGTTAAAAAAATATCACGATTACATAAAAATTATAGAATACTGTGTGAAGATAATCGTGATTTATTTTGATAAGCCCGTTAATAATATAACATTACCCGTGTGTTTTCTAAATAATTACATACTTGGTCTGCAAGAACTACCACTGCAGAAACGCCTAAACCTCGAGGTACGATATTTACGTGCATTAGAGAAAATTAAGTTTAAAAAAAATCGTTTTTATTGGCAAAATCTACACAAAATAAACAAAAACAATAAATAGACCCAGAAACGAACTTAAGGCCGTCGCGCTCAGAGTTATTTAGCTAAATATTGTAATTATTCGTTGATTCATGATGTTAATGTTATTTTGTCATAAAAAAAAAATTAACTTGTTATTACTCGAGTTTTTTTTAAACATCATTTTTCTAACAAAAAAAATCATATCAATAATTTTTAAACATAATAAATTATTAAAATACATCAATAATTACTCAACTATTGTTGTACTAACTTGTACTACATAATATCCAAATAAAATACCTAATTATTGAAATTATTTTTATTTGAAAATACCATAAAAAAATCGGCTTGCTCAACCCGTTGGTTATGATATTTCTTTTTTTTAGATTGATGGCTTAATTAACACGATCCGACAGGCTAAACGCCGAAACGTTGGCGATTCGAAAAATGAGTTACCTACAAACATACATAACACTAGGTTGATATTAGTAGAGTATACATTACAACTGCGATCTGGTCATTATCACCCGACGACCTTGACATCGTCTAATAATAATATTACATACTTATCGAGGGAAATGCACGGTGAAAAAAAAATCGCAAGGTGTTTAATAATATATTAGATAATGGTATACGTTATTATTGCGGGAACGATAATGAATACATGTATTTTTTTCTTTTTATTACTCAATATTTTTTATTTTATGGTTAGGTTAGGTTAGCGACTGTTTCGAGGTAATATAATAATTGTTGAGTACATTAACCAAGCAGGTATGCTAGAAAAATAAGTGTGATTGTACTGACTGACTGACTGACATAACACTCGCAGTCAAAAATAAGGTTAGGTTAGGTATTTTCTGTCTTACACGAAGGGAGGACACCGCAAAATTGCGGTTTGATATTTCAATCGTCACACCCAGGCATAATGGCAAGCGAAAATCAATCGGCATAGTAATTATGCACACTGTGTGTTTGTAAAACGTCGCCTTCGATAATTATTATAATATTTTTATTGTGGGTTTTGCTCAACAGCAGCAGCTGTCAGCAGACAGAAAATTTGCCCAGGCCCATCTGATTTTACACTGGGAAAATACTGACGTTATTGTCTACTAAATTGATCGTTAAACATATTCACACATTGTCACGCTCTAGATAGCAGATTTTACACATAGCACTTACCCGTGGACTGTAATAATTGGTATCACTAGGCACTAGTGTATCGCGTATAGTATCTTCACAATACATTAATTGTTCTTTTTCCATTTATTTTTGTTTTTCCTACGTTTAAAAAGATTCTCAAGTAATTAAGATATTAGTTTCAACGGTCTGTTACTTGATAAAAAACAATTCCGTGCTAATCAAATGCAAAAAGAGAATTTACGAGGAAGTGCTTATAGTTAGATTTAATCTAGGGATCTGAAATGTAAGGGATATCTTATTTAAATAGGCTAATATCGGTTGGGAGTGGGAGGAGGCTATCAAGTAAGCACATTTTGTTTAGCCAGTATAATACACATAATATTATACATGATAACATAACGTTCTCGTCAATTGATAAAAGACGACGTTGATAAAAATTACGAGCCTCGATCAAGGGTTTCTCGAGAAGCCAAAGGGGTTCACGTGCTTGTCGCCAATCCGTTTATATGGATTCTAAATCCACCAAGTGTACATTCTTAACAGAAATTCGCTTCGGAGGTATGCTAATATTAGGTATAATCACTCTGATCTTAGTCGCCAGCGACAGACCAAAATCGATTACACAAATAATACAGTCCTGTGATTATAACATAGGTACTAGCCGGTTAGGTGATCCAGAATTGAGAAGCAGCAGGGGTCGACGACCTTGGCCTCTCTAGTTTGCTAAAAACAAACAAGACAATAATACGATTGAAATAAAGAAACGGACGGAGGATTACGATCGATTGACTACACTCACTGTAATTGAACCACGATATTTAATAAGCATGAATAAGTTATGTCACAATAATAATTAATGAAAGGCAAAATCAATAATGAAAGCAAGCAACACTAATTTCGGCTGGAAGTGATAAAAAAGAGTTTTCCGTGTTTAGGTAATTGAAAAAGTTTTTCAAAAATATAGCCATTTCGAGTAATCATATACTATATCTTTTTATTTTTTGTTAAAATATGTGGATTTCAACAAAACGTTGTTGATACTATTTTTCGAAACAAATAACCACGATTAAGAAACGATTAATAATTTAGTATTAAAATGTAAATATGTTATGGGTTTCTTTCAGGCCTATTTAATTTATTAACATTAAGTAGGTATTGATCTTAAGATAAAATAAAATTGGTTAACCAAATCATTCGGCGGCCTCCGATATTTTTACTAGATGCCTAAAATTATCATTGCTCGAGTCGGTCTGATGGTTATCTCAGCCGTTGTTCTTCACACACACGTCTTACGTCGACATCAGCGGGTTGTCTGCGATTTTCGTTTCGCGCTTGGCCTGTTGTCGCAACGCGCGTTGCCCAAACCGTGTGATAATAATGATATATATTATTATGATTATGATTATAGCGAATTAGGCGGGTACAGGTATCAGGTACTAGGTTGTACTACTACTACTACTACTACTATTATTGTTATTTTTTAAATTAGCCGCAACAATGCGGTGTACTGGGCGCCGCAATTAAACGAAACAAAAAATCTTCCACGCGGCCAAAACGAGATTTCGAAAGTCTCGTGCGCCGGCTCTGGCTTGACGGACGGGTCGGAGACGAAGGAATAATAGTATTGAATAAAAAGGTAAAAAAAATATCCTTAGTATAATAATATAATATTATACGGTTGCATATAGTCCGCGCAGAAAATAATATAATAATTACAGCTGGTAGAGTAGACCGTTTGTACTGTTTTGCCGTAGTCACTGTGTTTGCGTAACAGCGCGTATGTTGGGTGTATATTATAAGGACAAAGGTCGCACAGCGGCGTACAAATGATAATTACTACAATGTACAATGTGTGTTATGTACTTGTGTGTAAATGCGGTATGCCCGTGTGTCTTCTCGTTGGACTTATACACATGACTTTTTTTTTTTTTTTACAATATTCGTCTCCGAGATCACAGGTGACAACGGTGGCAAGGGCCGACGGTGGCAGCAGGTCGGAGACCTTGTCCGCGGCGGTCGGATTTGGGTCAACGTTTACCGGCGACCCCGACCCGTCGTCGGCGGTAATTATATTCAACTGGTTTTCTGTACCATCATTGGTCGCCGAGTTTTCTCACAGTGTCTGCAATATTATTATTATTATTATGGAGGCAAAAAGGGTCGGAGGACGAAAAATCAGTAGACCAAGGTCGGGTCGTTTTGTACAATATTGACACGGATGGCCGGACGTTGGGAAACGGAATAGACCGTGTACGTACACGTCTTGTAAGCCAAAGCGCAAACAATAGCCGCTGGTGGAAGACGCACAAACCGTAAAAAATTGTAAAACGTAATCACGAGATGATAATGACATACATGTAGCAAACAGTGTAGAATAAATGTTTGTTAATTTTCAAAAACATCTTGTTGTAGAACTACTAGTATGTTGTTGTTGTCTTTGCATCGATGCCAAAATATTTTAGTGAATCAAGTATATAAATAATTATAGAATATTAGTTCTTAGTGTAACTCAATTAACAGCTGTTGTAGACAAACTTGAAAGTTCCTATCCAATAAAGTTAGATTAAACGTGAAAAATAGTCATTGTCAGACTAGGTAGGCGTTAAACATTAGACGACTCCGAAAAAATTGTCCAAGTATGCCATTGAAAATAAATAACACTGCTCTTAGAATTATTTATACTAAGAAAATAATGTATGAATTATGAACATACTATTTCCTGAGTATAGATTAGATATAATCGTTGAACAGCATTAACCGTTTTCTACTAATTAGTATTTGTAAAAAAAGATAGCTCAATGATATTTAATAATATTAAAATAATTAAAGAAATACAGAAAAAATAGATCATTCAGAATTTAAAGAAGAGAATTAAAAAATAAAAATAAAATGTATTATAAAATACTGTTATAACATAACACAACTAAACATGCATAGCGTATTGGAAATTTAAGAAAATTAATGAGTTTCATGAGCACTTTTTTTAAAAAATTTATGATAAACGACGAAGTATGATAAGTTTAAAATAGTCTAAACTTTAAAGAGTAAATATTGCCAGATAAAATACACGTGCTACGCTCGTGTACCAAAAACAACGTTAATCCGAACATTTTTTAAACGCGGTATAATGTGTTCTTTATTTTAATTTTAAGGAAGACTTCATCAGAGAGCAAGGATATCCCGTGGAAAGGCACACGGTGATCACAACGGACGGCTATAACCTCACAGTGCACCGTATACCCTACAGTAAAAAAGCTGATCCGACAATAAAGAGACCCGTGGTAGTGGTCCAACATGGTATTTTGTGCAGTTCTACCGACTGGGTAATCTCTGGTCCTAACAGCAGTTTAGGTGAGTCGAGTTCACTCGTATATCGCACGAGAAAAAAAAATGTATTGGTTCTAGGATTAGAGTATAGCTGTTACTAACAATAGTTTTGTGATTGTGTATTTGTAGAATATTTTAATACTTAATAATCTTGGTAATTTCTTGATAATGACGGTTCTCAGGTTATGTTTTATCGGACGCGGGATACGACGTTTGGATAACAAACACCAGAGGAAACACGTATTCCAGAGGCCACGTGACGTTGGACCCGTCAAAGGACGCCGAGAAATTCTGGGACTTTAGGTGAGCTATTTGTTTTAAAGGTCGCGAAAATTGATTTTTGTTTTATCTATATTATTATTTTCACGGATTTCCAGTTGGCACGAGATGGGCGTGATCGACATGCCGAACATGATCGATTACATCCTGGAAGTGACCGGTGAACCGGATGTCAGTTACGTGGGCCACTCGATGGGCAACGCCATTTTCTACGTTATGTGTTCGGAAAGACCCGAGTATGCACAAAAGGTGCGGGCTATGGCTTCCATGGCACCCATCGCCTTCTTGAACCACGTCAAGAGTCCCATCTTGACATTCTTAGCGTCCGTGGCCGACCCGTTAGCAGTAAGCATAATACGAACGACGAACAGGCTTAGCCAGTATAGCAAGCTTATAAAGACTACAATAGTATTTTATTACGTTATAAAAGGCTTTTAAAGAGGGTTTTGATTAAATTACTTTAAAAGAAAAAAAAAGCCATTACAGTGGGCGGGGCATAGTGGGGGTGGAACATAATGGGGCGAGGGAGGTCACAGGCTTACAGACTCAACTGAAAGCGTGAGAGTTAAATCCTCCTCAATCCTCTGTAAATGATCTGAGTGCATCCCTTTTACTGATATAGTGTTCATTACTGCATCGCTGTTAATCATTTTCACTTTGGTTTGTGTTTATTTGCCACTGGAGCAGTTTAACTCTTCTCGAGTTCTTGTTGACGTTTGAACTAATTAATTTATTGGTGCAACTAGAGAGGAGCTGTGGAAATATAAAACCGTTTCGAAATCACTATTAAAGCTGCCACAAAATTTGAGTAAAAACGTTACTTGGACGTTATACCCGATTGGTTGCCGACATTGTGTAAGAGTTTGTAGGAGTTTAGAGTGATTTGAACTTAACCATTTTGATAAGTACGCCATGACAATTCTATTGCCAGCCAAAATCGTGCCAGCGTTGGGCGTTTGATTTACTGTAATTTTAAGACCCGGGTTCTAACCTCTATCTGGGGCCCTAAAATAGTGTACATTTTTTTACCTGACAAACTCAAATTAGAAATTTTTTTTTTTTTCAGTGGTTGTGTGGAAGCTTGGGGTATTACGAATTTCGTCCCAACGGCAAGATACTGTTGTTCGCGGGCAAGGCGTTCTGCGAGTCCAGTTACATGCCATCAGGAGTTTGTGACAATTTGCTGTTTCTGATCGCCGGTTACGATTCCAAACGATTGGTTAAAGTAAGTTAAGTGAGCAGGTTTGACGAAAGGTTTGATATCGCAACAATACTGGTGGCGGATAATAATTACTGAGAGCTATTAATTTTGCCGACTTGTTTACCGGGTCCGATTTATTTTTACATTTAATAAACTATTTTAAATCCAAAACTGTGTATTGTAATCAAATGTAATTTTTAATTTCGTGGATCAAGCTGTTTCTTCGGTCTATAAAAAATGCTTCTTGATTTCGATAGCCCATCATTGTAATTTGTAAGATGAAATGGTATTTTCATCAGTGATAGAGTAATTACTTCGGTTCAAGTCAGGCCATAAATTAACATGGGCGTTAAGGTTTGATAATAATTATTCTCGGCAAAACTGGTATCTTGTAGTAGCTGTTAATCTGGTTCATAATAAAAACGTTGTCCGACAACTCTTCAAACGGGCTCCGCAACTCGTAAAATACCCTATTGACGTTGCTAATAAAATAATATATTTTAATACGCAATTAGACCTTTGGCCGTTGCAGAATTTTTAAACTTATTTCGTTTAAGTCTAGCCAGCTCACTTGTATTTTTAGCATTTTAACGGCCCAAGGGGCAAGTCTTTTCGACTTGAATCCACGTGATTTTAACTACTTATGTATATTACAAACGTTTCAGAACGTTCTGCCGATCATATTGGCACACACTCCGGCCGGGGCATCGGCTCGACAACTCACTCATTTCGCCCAACTCATAAACCGCAGTAAGTATGAAATAAAAAAAAAAACGAAATTGTTCAACAAATATTCGGTGACACGCTGAGTTGAATACGTTTTCTTTGCAGACCAATGGTTCGGACAATACAATTTCAACAAGGAAAAGAACATGGAAAAATACGGTCAACTCGAACCGCCGGCGTACAACCTGAGTAAAGTGACCGTGCCCGTAGCTTTGTACTACGCTAACAACGATTGGATGGCTGCTCCAGAGGTATATAGATAAGGATATATTCCGCTAATGATCAAAGGGAGTAAGCAAGCTTAATACCCGTATGCATTTTCCAGGACGTGCAAGTTCTCGGCGACAAATTGCCCAACTTGGTCGAGAAGAGAGAAATGCCGTACCGGGAATTCAACCATTTGGACTTTTTGTGGGCGACTGACGTGAAAACTATTGTGTACGACGACTTGATCAGGTTTTTGAATAGATACGATCGAAAATACCTGACCGACGTAAAAGAATCTCAAGAAGTCGACAATAACGTCTTTACCAGTGATCTTAACGAACCAAAAAAGGATTAATGGTGTTCTCAAACACGAATAAAAAAAATAGGAGAGAACATTTTTACTATAACGCGAATAGTGAGCGAAATTATTGTAAAATAAAAAACGCGAGCCATTAGTTATTTAATACTAATAAATTATAATTTATAACTATTTTTTATAATAAAACAAATATAAAATATAAAAAAAACAATATGTTGTCGTATTGTGTTCAAATATTGCTTAGACTAGAACTTTAGTAAAATTATACTAGCGTACAGATCTAAAAATACAATTATTCAACTGCCGGTAGTCTTTCTAAGGTAAATTTATTCACAACTAAATAAAACGACGAAAATAAAGAGATCCCTAAATTTTTGTTTCATTCAAACATTGTCTTCGTACATAATGAACGGCTACTATTAATAAAATATCATACAATAGCTATGTTTTTATTACATACACGTTTGGTATAATACTGTGCGTAGTGTAGTGTACACATATATGTGTATGTATGTGCTTAAAATAACTATATGTACAACGTAAAATATATAGTAATAAGTTTAAAATCCGAAGTCCAAATACTTGGCGTCAAGCTGATATCAGGACTTGTCGAGTTTAACGATCAGCTTGTTGTCGAAAACCCTAAACCCTTCTCTGGTAGCTACAAACTTGTTGATGGAGGTTTTCGTCAACTCGGTGTGCCTGACATCCAGATAGGTGAGGCTTTTGCACTTGGTCAAATGCTTCAGGGACAGCTCGCTGATGCTGGTGCACCCGGACAACTGTAACGTGGACAGTCCACTGATTTGCGACAAAGTCTCCACGCCTTTGTCGGTGATCGGGTGACACTGCGACAAGTCCAACATAGACAGCTTGGGCAACACTTTGGCGATGGTCTTGACCCCGGCGTCGGTGATATGGCCACCGGCTAGTTTCAGCGACTTGAGATTCGACAATCGACATGTCAGGTCGACCAAGCCCGGCCGGTGGTCGAGCGGCGGCGAGAGGATGTGATGGAGAGTGGCATCGTCCAGAGTAGGAACAAAACTTAGGTTTAGGGACGTCAGCATCGGGCACATACACGACCGCAGACAGGACACGATAGACAAGGAGCAACCTTGCAGGGACAGCGCTTTGCTCTGGGGTAGTCTGACCAACAGCCACAACAGTTGTTCTTTGGTAATTTTACACCAATCCAGTATGAGCACTTTGGGCTGCCTCACCATCACGTCTGAAAAAACAAATACTCCGCTGGGATTACGTTCGAAAACAGAACTGGCAACGATAAGGTATTTTTTGGGTCAACTACCAGATATACTCACATTTGATCAACTTGGACGTGACCACAGTCTCGGTCAAGTCCATGCGGTTCCAAAGTGCCGGGTTGATGGTGGCCGTGTACCAGTCTTTGCACACTAAAGAACAGTTTTTCAGGTCGTCGGCCGACAAGAACTTGAACACGGGCACCAACGCGTCCGCTCGTTTCTTTGGTTCTTTGCTCAGCTCGTCGGATTCGAGCTTGGGCACAGGACGGATCACGTACTTGGGCATGTGATTGCACTTTTTCGAATTCGACAGAATTTCGTCGATTGGCATGTCCACGTTGTTCGTCACGTTTGGCTCGTTGGTCCGGATTTCTTCTTCGATTTTCACGCTGCCCGACACGGGTTCCAGCGGTTCCCTCGTTTCCGGTATGTACTCGGACTGCGCCGCGCGACAAATACAAAATTAGAAAATGGGAAAACCCTCAAAAAAATGGAATTCTGCTGACTACTCACCATGTGTATGGGTGACATTTTCTCACGTTTTACGACGAAGCTGGATTCGGCGACCATTTTGGACGAAGAACACGTGGAAAATGAAGACAACGGCGACGGCTCCAACGTCGTTTCCGGTTCGGACGTGGGTTCCTGTTTGATGTACTGGTTGAATGCTTCCATCACGTTCAACTCGGGCTTTGAAAATCACACACACACACTTGTACGTTAGATAACGAAAAAAGTTCCATCACTCAAAATATTGCTATGGACTTACCTCTAGTTTGATCTGCCGGCAGGTCGGATCGCATTTGCCGCTCGTGCCCGGTTCGTTGGCGGCCGACGGCGACGATTTTTCCGTTAAATTCCGTCTCTGATGAAAACAAAATAGCAACGATAAAACACAAGTTACAAGCCGAATCGTCGGTTATTTAGCCATTGAAATACTAACGAATTTCTTGTGGGGCGTTTTGTTCTCGACGTCCGTCTTCTTGTCCGCTAGCTCCGGCGTCTTGTCCAGTTCGGCTTCCTGGAAAACGAAAAATACCGCACGTAGTAAATAACCTCCTCAAGTACAGGACGCGTCCTACCACCAATGCCGTCCGGGCACTCTGCTTTATAATAATATTAACGTTCAGCCACAAAGATCTAATAACCCGGTCAGTCGAATTTACATACAGTTTAACGATATTCGTGTTTGATAGGTTAGTATATTCGGTTCAACTCCATCCGAACAGATCGAGTACTCGACGGGTTTTGGTACAAGGTAAAAAAATAATACTATTTATAAATAAAAAAAACTTCTTTTGTTTTTTAGTGTCAAACAACTACGCTAATTATCATGTCTAACGATAGGTACTCGATATTATGTGTACTTAAATATTGAAACTGAAGCGTCAATTACGGTTGAATTTATATTTTTTGCAAAAAGAGTTCCAACAACATTATGGTATTTTGACCTTCAACGATAAAATATTTAGAATTTTACAACGAAATAACGTTAACCCAACGAGTTTTTAAAAAAAAAAAAAAAACTAATTATGAAAAGTTGTACGAATTATATTATTAACTATAACACATATTATTCTAATAATAGTTTAGCTCTGGTTTTCCACTCAAAAATTATTTCTAGACCGATTGTGTAGCGCGTTTTGATAAAGCTCAAAATCACCTACTAATATACTTATTGTTTTTTAAAAAAAAATTAACTTTTAACTACCAATATAAGTTACCATTTTTTTAATCCTTTATAAGTTACTTTATATGTACATCAGATTTGTCAGCTATTAAGTTTTCGTTTGAAAAGGGAAGTTACTTTTTTATCATTTTGAGAATAAATAACGTCAAATTTAATTTAACTGAACCTAATTTTAACTAGGTTTCAAAAAAATTAATTTTGCTTCACCATAGCAAACAAGTAAAGACAGCCACTTTGTAGATCCTATTTCTCTGTCCGGCACCAGTTTAGAATTAGGTCAACTCATCCGCCCACTTCTTCACCGAGTTTCAACTCCAATAGGAATCGTCTATTTCAGATTTCCTCTACTCCGACCTATGACCTAGATAATTACCCATCTCATACGACTAAATGAAAATAAACGGTCACTTCTCACTATACTTATTCGCCAATTATACTCGCAAAATTTGTTTTAAAAAAACGATATTAGATACCTCTATTAAATACATCTAATTACTTCTAATTAAATGGCAAACGGTTAGGTCAACGTTGATGTATACTCGATGTGCTCTTCGACCACCATGGCTGCGAGTTAAAAACGGATGACTTCACAATAATTGTTACCAAAAACGACTAGTAATTATTACCAGTATAATATATCAGGTCACGCCGAGAAAACTAAACGCCACGAATTAGACCGAATAACACAACACGTGTACAAACAATAAACACACAGACTACTTTAAAAAAATAACTTGGAGCTCGCATAAAAGTTTGTAGAAAGGCCACTGTACAACATGGCATGGATACAGTAATGTCAACAAGTTGTTGACAACAACATATATCATACAATATACATGAGCGAGTTACCTGTATCGTTGCACTCGAAATGCCACCACCAATATTTTATGTACACAAATTATTTAAGAAAAAAACAATAAAACAATTGCCAGTATTTTTTATGAAAACTTACTTAAAAACTAATTTAAACTGTACCGAGTTTAAAAAGTGACCAGCGGTTATTATTATCAAATATCAATTAAGTTATAATAAAATAAACCTTACACTCTACTAAATATAATAGTATTATACATTTGTATGGTCTTAATATTGTAATTTCTGTAGTAAAACTTGTAGGTTAAAGAAGATCAAATTTTTTAATAAACATTCTTCTTCAATTTTGTTTAAACATAACACACCATGGAATAATTCTTCAGCCCTACTACATTATTGATGAACCCAGTATTAAAAAATAGTAATCGTGTTCTCCAAGTTACATTACAAGTATAGGATCGAGTTAGATTACTAAATTAAACTTAGGATTTTTATTTTAGTTAACATACATATGACATTCAGTTATAATATATACCTTTTCTAATACATAAGTTGTTTTTTTATACTAAAACACCCGAGATCTGATATAAGCAAGTACTTTATTAAAAATACAATACAATTTTTTTAAAAAACACAGTCAAAGCTTATACAAATATATAATTTAAATAAAATCCATTTTTTATTACAGTAATAAAAGGCGTTCAATAATATTTGTTATACATAATAAATTGACTTGCAAACACCCAACCTACAATTTACACTATAACATGTTTGATTGTATAATACTTAAAAAACTAACGGTAATACAAACAAATCTTCAGTCTTTTTTTTTTAATTTTATATAATTTAAAAAATACAATAATAGTCAAATAAAACTTTGTTATTTCGATAATTAAAAGAGTGAAATTAAAACCGTATAATAAAATTTACATAATATTAAGGGGAAAAAAAGGATATAAAATATCATTATCACCTAAGAATTTAGAAAATCCAATGCAAACTACCTTTTAAATCACTCAAAAAAAAAAAAATGTTTAAGTTAATTATTAAATTATAAAAGGTAATTTAATTATTAAATAAAATAAAACAAAATAAGTAACTCGTGTAAATTAATGTAAAATTATAAAGAAAAGACTAAAATTTAAAGAATAAAATCAAATCCAACATTAAAATATGTATTATTTGCCATGGACTTGTTACTGTATTGTGGAATTGTCATCACAATATTGCAATATCTATTAAATGTCTAATTGTTTACCGTTACTTGGACTTGACCAACAGTCGAGTTTCGGTGACGGTGAATTTATCGTTTACTGATAGGAACTTGTTGATAGCGGTGGTAGTTACTTTGGGCGTGTGCTTCATGTCCAACCGCTTGAGGGCCGTGCACTTGACGAGATGATCCAGCGACACGTCGGTGATTCCCGTGCACCCGGACAGGTCGAGTGTCTCGAGCGTTGATACGGCGTTGGCGATTGGCGTGGTCAATTGCGCCATGCCGGCGTCAGTCACCCGGAAACATTGAGATAAATCCAACTCGACCAAGTTGGGCGCATATTGGACGACATACCTAAGGGACACGTCGCTAATGTCGACGCCAGCCAACTTAAGCGTCTTTAAGTTTCTGAACCTGGTTCGGGTCTCGTTGGACGAAGACCGAGAGTCGGATGGCGGCGACAGGATATCCCTGAGTGACGCGTCGTTCATGCCAGTCACGAAGCTCAGGTCGAGCATGGTCAACGAAGGTGGCACTACGCTGCTACGTAACGCTGTCACGCCACTCCACGAGCACCCCTGCAACGACAGCTCCTTTAGTCTGGTCAGCTTGGTGATCATCCATTCTAGTTGCCGCTTGGCGATAGCCGTCCAGTCCATGACCAACACTTCGGGCTGTCGTTTTACAATGCCAGCCAGACACGCCGCCGTCAGCCGCTTGCCAGTCACGTCTAGCCGCCTCCACAAGGACACGTCGACGGACATGGAGGACCATGCGCGACACACAAGTGCACAGCGCGCAAGATCGCTGGGTTTCAGGTACTTGAACACAGGCAGCACGCATGCCGCGTCCGCATAATGGTGTTGCTGGCCGTTGGCGCCACCGCTGCCGCCGTTGGCCGTCTGGCCCTGAGCCTTGTGGCCGTTGCTCTTGGACGGCTTAGACACGTACGACTGTTTCTTCAACATATTGCAGTGCTTGTTCGAACCACCCGTCAATTGGCTGGCCAGTTGCTTGCGTAAATCGATTTTGCGCGACGGATCGGCGGCCGACGACGGACTATTGTACGTTGACATGTGCGCCTCTTCGTTATTGACAGAACGACTTAACGTTTTCATGGAATGCTCTTCCATCCATCTCTATAAAATCAAATCAAACCAGGTTTATTTTTTTGGTCTAAAAAAACTGTATCAATAATTATAGTATATGCAACAGACAGAATAAACCAAAAATTTCGCCAAACGATACACGAAACAGAAGGCAACTCGAGTAATAAAATCTATATTTTGTTTTAGAAAACGGGGTAGGTGGGGTTGAACATATTTTAACGAAATACACGTTATAGAAAAAAAGGAACCTTCTGTTTCACGAATAGCTTCGAAATGCTCGGTAACAAGATTCGATTAAATGAAGTACAGCAAATAAAAATATAAAAACCACAAACTATTGAAAAAAGCACAAGTCAACGTACAACGACCTCTTGCGAGTGGCGGTGGCGTTTTGGCTGCAGCAACGCGCACGGACAACACAAATGAGTTAATTTTTTTTTCTTAGGTATACTTATAATATAGTAATTTATTATAGTACACATTTTCTCGGCGATCAAAAAAAACCCAGTGTAAAATAAAATAAACAACGTTACAAAATAACGATAACGGTGACGCGACGCCAGCTGACTTACTTGTCTCTTTGATACACTGGCAAACACGGTTTTTTCTCTGCTATATCCATTCGAAATAAAAAAATTAAAACCAATTATAGGATAGTAGTTCATAATACACTCGATTAGACCTATAAAATATTTCACTAGAGGCGGTAACTATCTTCATACGGCGGTAACATTGTTTTAGATGTATCACTAATGTAGCATTTTTAAGGCCGTTTAAGAAAGAATGACCAAATTCGCCACAAACAATAAATCTTATCATCACGAAAATACACTTAAAACAAATAACAACTTTTACGGTTTATTCCTAAATACTATTTACTAGTATTTATTTACAATACTAATAAATACGTCTTAATAGTAAAAATCTTTCCAAGACATTTGACTAAATCTTCAATCTAAAAAAAGCTAGCATAGTGGAGACAGAGCAAATTCACAGCCCACAGGACTCTGAAGCTAGACTGTAGAAATTATTATCACTCTCAAATAAAACGCGTCGATAAGAATCTGTAGATGGTATACATTTTAAATATCAATAAGACTGTTGCTTAAAATTTTGTCCGAAATTGTATTGCAAGTTTATTAGGGTGGATAAGATTGATTTGATCAACTGTCTATATAATAATTCGACTGCCCCGACGAAAAGGGTCGTATCTCGTTTTTTGCAACTTTTCAGGGTGAACTAAACAAACATTCGAATTTAAATTCTTATTCTGTTTTTAACATATCAGTTTGAAAATTTGGATACATGCTATAACATGTATCCAAATTTTGAGTGTATTTTTTTCCTATTTTAATAAAAAAACTGTTTCGAGTATAGATTTTTGAGAAAATTGTACCATGCTATAAATTAAACTACACTTAAAAAGCGTATACCTTAAATTTAAAAAAAATTGTACCTCTTTTTTGGAGGACAGGAATATATCTTCTTAGGTTTTTACTGTATATCATTAACTACTATCTGTAAAGAATATCATCCATCCCATGCAATAATTCGGTACGATTAAAAAAAAAAAAAAATTAAAACGTTATAAATTGAAAAACCATGTAAATTAATTGTTTGGCCGTTTTCTCAATTTGGAGAGAAAGGGGTGAACTTTTAAAAGAGTTTGGCCTAATTTAGTAAATTTCGGGTACGATTTCTGATTTGTAGAATTACAGAGCGGATTAGGATATATCGTGGGCAGTGGCGTATATAGGATATAATTTCGGGGGGGAGGGGGAGGTGGACCCCGAAAACCCTCCCCTATAGACGCCACTGAGGGTCCACACACAAAAATAGATTTATAAAATCTATTCTTCCAAGCTCCGCAACAAAGCTACAAACATTTGGACAATCTTGCACAGTATATATTTATCCGCCTGTAATAACACAATATCACAATTTACACTGTCCAGTTCAGATTTAATTTTAAAGTCGATGACAACATAACAGCAACCACAGACAGCATCATGTATGTACAGAATTTTGGTATTCGGCTAATAGATTTAAAAAAAAAAAAACAATATTTACCCGAATGTTTGTCCACGTTTTGTTGGTCACTGTTAGAACGAAATTATTATACAATGTAAAACTGTGTGTTATTAACAGTTTTTATGTCAATATCTTTTTTTCCACGACCCGCGGTTTACAATTCAACTGTCTACGCATTACTAACGTAAAATCATTCTTAGTGTTTCTCGTTGTTTGGGAAAACCGGTTACCTATACTAATAAAATAAGTGCTATGCTCTTGCCAATGAATACGAAATTATAATCTTACACAATTTTATAGCTAAAACTAATTTTACAATACATTCTTACGGCACAAAATCGTCACACTAGTGTGTTGACAAGTAGATGAATACATTTTTATATAAATGAAACTGGGAAACTAATATTATGAATTGAAGTGATCACAAAGCATATTAGTGGTCTCTGTTGCCAAAAGACATGGCGCGACATGCACAATTACCAAATGACGACACACCATTTAAGACATAAAGGAGTCTAATTTAGTATTTACATATTATAAGATATTTCTTATATTTTTTTTAATTATAAAAATGGGTCTGTATAATAACTCTAGGACGGATTTAGAATTGAACCTAATGGTTTCAAATAGAAAATAACATGTAAAACGTGTTATGTAAATGCGATATTGTTTTAAAATACTATTATTTTACTATTATAGTATATAAAATACTATTTTTTTCTATAGAAAAAATATATATTATTTATTTATGATCCTACTCTCTTGATTTTAACCCCAGCACATGAAATTTAAGTACTTCATGTACGAATGTAGAAATTACATATTTTATAAACAAATATTGTACTGCATTCGTTTTCTATGGATTGTACAAAACACAATAATGTGCTCAAGGTTGTTAGGTACATACAATTAACAAAAAAGAAGAAGAATAGATAAGCACACAATATAGATTTTACTTTTTTTTTGTAACTTAATCATACAAATACATACATATGAGGTAAAAATACATCAGAGTAACTCTTACTGACAAAGTGTATAGGAAACAAAATTACTAAGGTATAAGAAAAAATAAAAAAACTTTAGAAATAAAAACCATTCATAGTTGTCTTAAATGGTACCGAGTATAAGAATAAATAAAAACAATAAAAATATTGACTTAATTTCATTAACTTAATGAAACAAAAATGATCAAAACGAGTATTTTAAAACAAATGAATTTGAATTTACTGTTTCACATGTAAGGTAAGAATCGAAAAGCAGTAATTAAAAAAAGTCCATACCGCCAGAACGCCAATTGGTTAGTGATATTGTTGCCTAATAATACAGAAGAAATAGTGTTATAAATTGTATACAAACTACAAAGAAAAAGCATATCATTTAGTTTAACAGTAGTTATTTAGAATGGTACAGTAGTCGAATTAATTTAATTAAACTGTAAAGTGCAAAAAGTACTACACTAAAACTTGTTGAAGTTTTACCGTTTTTTTTGTGGTTAGTCAGTTAATTTTTTTTAACACTACTATAATTTCCTACTTTCCATTGTTTTATTTTTGTTTATAATTTTACAATAATAATATAACGTAAAAATGGAATTATAAATTTATCGCAAAAAAGATTTAATCCATCTTTTATTTTTTTATTTACTACATCTGTTAAAAGTAAGTTTAACATATTCTTTTGATGTACATTAAAGAAACACCTAACGTCTCAGTTTTAAACCGACTAGTGTGTCAAAGCACTGGATGTAGTTTAAATTATAAACATAACAAATCCTACCTAAAGAAAACACACACTAAATACATATCTCATCATACAACTGACGATCTAGTAAAACTAGTTTAATTTATTAATAGTACATATTTAATAACGGGTTAGACAAATCTACATATTATGTACTATATGGCGATAAAAAACAAAATATTATTAACACCTATAATTATTTATAATTTAAAGAATTTTAGTTTAGTTTTGCACCATAAACGTAAAGTACCTAATTCGTTCGCTACTATTTTATTGTATAACTATTTTAAGGATTAAGTATATTAATATTAAATATTTGACATACCAAATTTGAAGTGCAAGTACTACTTTACTGGTTTCATACCTGAGCGTAGTATTTGTGTTTTTATATGCCTCGTACGAAAATAATTTACTTAAATATAATATTTCACATACGTGAGTATGATAATGCGCCGTTTGTCAGTCCCAAATTCATATGCAGCTTATGCAAAACCGCGCATACCATACCATTCACGTAAGGAGAGAAACACGTTTTATAAAATGTCCAACACAATAGTACATTTTATAAAATCTACTATACCTACTATGCTTGTAGGTACAACCAATGCAGTTGCACAAAAGTTCAAAAATAATTTGTAATTTATGCGTGTATTTTCATAAAAGCATTAGTCACCAATACGTTTATTAATACATTTCTAAAGCGATGAATAAAAAAAAATATTATATATATATATATATAATTACCGTAAGAGGCAATGGCGGCGACCGTTCAGTTGTAACATTTTCTTTCTTTTCTATTTTCAGTCTCTTATTACTAGAAGAATCCGCATCACTTTCCGAATTAGTGTCGGAGAATTCTTCGTCCTCCTTAACATTGATAATTCATTAATCATTGATATTCTAGTAATTCAAATTCAAATTACATTTACTCACTTTACAGCGTTTTTGTGTTATTGTATCGTTACTACTAACCGAGGTCCTACGAATATCGGTTGACTTTTGTCTGGCTCGAAAATGACGAGGCTATAATAGTCATCCAACAGAATTATATAAAATTTTGTATCGAATCAGCTAACTTAAATAATTATTTAAACTTACTTTGCTCTCTAAATTTTTTCCTTCTTTACAACATTTTGGACATTCCCAACTGTTGGGGAGATCTTCATTGTATGTTCCGTTATTTGAGAACACAGCCTAAAATCACAATTGTTAGGATAATGGTTATCAGTCAATAAAATTAACATATTATATTTTATGAATTATAATAAATATAATGTTGTAATATGTATTATAATATAATATGTTATATTACTTGTCTTAGTAAACAGTCCGGATGAACAATTTCAAAACAAACACTACACTCCATAAGGTTACTGGGTGTGTCTTTAGCTGCTTTTTGAATGGGAAGGACAATTTGTTGTCCCCAACCATCTAATGTACAAACTGAACACGCAGCAGTGATGGGCAACATAGGCTACAAAGACGATTGGAATTTTAGTTTATCATTAACAGACATTTTATTTAGTCCTTTAAAATTACCTGTAAACACTGACGCATGACACAAGTCTGTTTGGCTCGCCCTGGACCGCCAAACTTAACCATGTCTTTACAAAATGAACATTCGCCACAGTCGGCTTGTTTACAAGCTTCACATTTTTTACACCTTGTGCGCCTTCGTCTTGGTCCCGACGAAGCACTACCGCCTCCAGACTTGCGTGATGTTTTAACTTTAGAATTCATCTCACCAGATTTGAAAAATCTTCTTTCTCTTTCCTATTGTTGAAAACAATTAGACATTGTTCATAATAACATTGTTCATAACGTCTGTAATCTCTTACCTTGTCGCCTTGCATTTTTAGAATAGGTTTACCAGTTATAGCATCTTCGGGCTTATCATTTTTATGTTTATTTATGACAATGGCCACGTTCCTAATCAACTCAATAGCGTCCTTGATCAAAGGTGGTACGTTTTTTTTGTTTGGTGGTAAAACGTGTAAATATCTCACTATTGCTTTGATTCCGTGAAGTTCCTGAGATCAAAGAGAAGCAAATACATAATCATAAGTAACAATTGTATAAAAAAAATATTAATATAATCTGACACTGAAGTTATTGTATATATATATATATATATATGTATATTACTTGTTTAGTGAAATGTACGTGTTCGACTGGAGGAGGTGACGTTTCAGCCCCCTCAGTCAAATGAGACTTTCCGAGATCACAATAAACATACCGTTCTAAAACGTACCACAACATTTCGGTAAAGAACGGGTATCTAAATTTTTGAGGAACCTAGAATGAAAAAAAAAATACATATGTAACAAATTTTTGAAAAAATAAAATCACTATTGTTGCTCACCTTAGTGGACTCTTCAACTTCAGCCACTCTAAGTTGTTTTTCTATGCCAAAAGAATGCAAAAAGTTACCACCAAACACCAATGAATCTTTGGGTGTATAAACGGCGTGTATCCAGCCGGTAGGTATGAAGAATGTATCGCCAGCGTTTAACGATACACGGCCACACTGTTCGACGGTATCACCGAAAAATATATCTCCTTGCTTTCCGGACAATATCCACTGCTCATATAATTTCATATTTTGTTCTGTTGGCGGTATTAACCAAAACACCTAAAACCGAAACGATAATAAATGTTAATTTTATTGTAAAATATTAATTGAATATTAAATAATTTATTGATAAAAAAAAATGGTATACCTTGCTTCCACGTAAAATATGATACCACACTGATGTACCACCGAAATCAATATGGAAATCAGTGTAACAACCTTTGACTGACATCAAACAATATTTTTGTACTTTTGGATACATCATTTCGTCTAATACATTTGTTGATTCTATCTGGCTTTCTTTTAAGTGTTTTGGCCACACACAATCCACCCAGTCTAATTCACGCACCTGTAAATTTTTTCTTATGTAGAACACTTTCAAAAGTTAATGACACTCCACGATCAATATTAATTTCCTCATGGGTATTACGTACAATATTCGGACGTTTAATATAATTTTCTAGTTTTGTATGACTGAACTCGAGTGAGATAACATTCAACAGTTTATCCTTGACAGGTTCTTCATAATATTTCGTCCATTCTTTCATCGTCATTTCAAAATTTTTCTGTGTGTTTACATCCATAACATCTAATAGTCTTCTTGAACCTATAATGTTAATATTAAATAAAAATGTATAATTGAATTGTTATTATTGTACATGTATTATATTTAAAACAAATGCATAAGCAGTAGATGACATGAAAATATTATAGCACTAATGAAGGGGTCCTTTGTATTTTTGATATTTCAAACAATCTAAAAATTATGCCGATATTGGTTAAAAGTTATACGTATGTTTTAAATTATAATATTTATTAAAAGATACTTGTTTGATAATTAGGTATGTAAGACGACAGTTCAGCAACTTACCAACACAAGTGCGGACGTCGTTGACGGAGAAATTTTGACTGGGAACGTGTAGGCCAAGTCCAGTTTTGTCTTTGAACAACAGCGGAATAACAAAACCATGTTTTTGTAAATAAGCGACTGTAAACTCTGTAAAGTAAAATTTAAAGCGGAATGTTAGAATAAATGTGGGGGTTGATAAAATGTATTTGGATCATTAACCTTTTCCGTCCATTTGTTTGACAAAATTGTATTGGGTGTATCGATCAGAATCAAGTTTGTCGTGGAGGCTGAATGACCGTACCCCTTCGATTTCTTCTTCGTCGCCATAAGCCCAGTCTTCTGAATAAGTTTTCTTCTCTTTGCGGGTACGCTACAAACACAAAATACAATACAAATGGTTATTTAATAAGAAGTAGGTACACAACTACAAATGAGAACATGTGTAAAATTCTAGCTTAAAATGTCCATTTAAAAGATAGTCATACAGCATTACTTTCAGCTTATGAAATCAGACCGTTTTTGTGAGGAAGCGCTAATCAAAGTTAAGAACAATATAACAATTTATAAAACTATGTTTTGGTAACATATTATACTTCACTAATATAACTCGATATTCGAAAACTATTTTATATTATTAATCGAATTATTTATAATTTTAATATAAATGCTAACAGACCTCAGATCAAACACTTTGTGCATATATTTTCGGAATAATTTTACTGCAGTGTTAATAAATTCGGATTATAATTGAACTCAGTCAATACTGAAAGTCACTCAGACATTCAAAATTATTTTATTTGTGTAATAAGAAATAAACATCTACAAACGTCCGAATAATGCTTTGCAGTTAAGGAAAACAGAAAAAAAACACATTTTACACAAATTAAACGCAATAACTTACCAAGCCGATAGTATTTTTTTTTGTTACTAAGACTAACATATTTACTATAGGAGTCTAAAATGTCAATTTCTAAAGAAATTATCTCAATTTCTATAAATTTTAAGTTTTTCTAATAAATCAAACAATTTAAAAAAATCGGCATTTTATTCTCCCTAAAAAGTTGTAAGTTTTCTATGAAAATAAACTGAAATCGACCCAATAGAAATGCCAGAAAATGAGTTCTTTAAAAGTCACTTGAACTTTTTAATCAAACTTTCACTCGGATTAAAATAACTTTAAATGTTATAAAACTAATACTAAATAATCATTTGCCGTTAAACTAGTCGTCATAATTAAAATTAATCTTCAATCAGTTTATGTTAATTACTGGCAATCTTTTTCCCCATAACAAATAATAACCCCTTCCGTTCACCTTAAGTTTATTTGAGTAACCTTATAAAACTTTTTTGGGTAAATACCAAATATTGCCTGGGGTTAAAGAAAATGATAACAAATAAAAGTTCATCAATAGTCAATCCCGTCGTTTGGTGTAGTAGAACATTAACAATCTTCTTTGTTTAGATAATATGAGTAAGGATAATTTATCGGTATCAATGATGTTTTTTTTTTTATTCTAAATAACTGGAAGCGCGGTGTACCCTAATAATACACTCGTGGTTTAGATCGGACAAAGTATAGAAATATTTGTACACGTGCATCTACATTTATACGGAATGCATCACTTATTCAAAACGCATACATAATACGTACTGTCGATTTTGTTATATCATATTTGAATTTTGTATACATTCAAATACGGCCGCGAGAGCGGAGACTTATGTGAAAAGTCTATGATAAAATTCTTGTAGAGGGGAAAGTAATATGGGCCAGACGAGAGCGTATTATGACCAGCCAATTGGAAAATATTATTATTTATTATGAATGGAACTCTGCTAGAAGTGACCCCGAAAAATCGATTGTCGACCACGGTCGGGACTCGTCGGCCGGCACTACACTTTCGATTTCTGTTTTTTTGAAATATAGAGGTGGAAATTTACAATGCTAACGAGGTAAAAACGGCATCATAATCTAATTAGCCGATTAACCGATAGAGTAGTGCATAGTCTCACGTTGTTTTAGCAAGTGCCAGTCAATGACCGATTGTCGTCAGATGAACGTTTGGATAGTGTACTAAGCTACTACTATAAACAGTTGACCATTGATCTATCATCAACGGGTGAAGAATAAATGTTTAAAAATTCTAACGGCAGACATTAAAAGTATGTACTTATACAATTAATATTATTATTAGGTATAGTAGGTAATACCGAATACTCTAAACTCGTTTTACTATTTGACTTTCCTCCCTTTTTTAGACATGCTCAACCCAACCCCATCTCAGTGTTATGTTCCTTCTAAATTTTCATGTTATTGGCACAAATCACAAACTTCCTCATTACTTATTCCACACACTCATCTCAACATTTTTTGAAAATAATACTTTTAAACCCGGTATAGATAACAATAAGCTAACTTTATTTAACCATCGTCCGACACACGTTGAATGTAACTGAATATGACAGACAATACAATGTAAGCTTGAGCGGATGCGGTAAGTAGGAATATAATATCATACACGGTTTAACTGTAATGATTGCACATGGCGGACATTCCATACACTTAGAATGTATTAAAATTATAATTCAGTAAAAACCTAAAAAAGTGTACAGCATTGAACGATTTCAACTGGCCCTGTAAAACAACGGTTTGGTTTAAAGCTGAATACAATTAATGTCACCTGAAGTAGATTAATTAAATTGTTCTTTAACAACTTGTGCGAATTTGTCTAGTTTCTTTCTCAAGTGTTTTTGTCGTTTACCTATTGGCGTACGATACAGAATGATAAGTTTTTCTGAGCAGTGAGAACTCTCAATGTCAAGTAGCATATAAAAAAAAAATCCTCAGTTAGACTTACTATACATCAGACCAAGTTGATAAGATACAATATTAAGATACCTACAACGACATTATTTTCTAGTGTAAAACCTCGATTACGCGCAACGCATTTTACTTGGTTTTCGAGCAATAGAAAATAGACTAGATGTACATGAAAAGAGGATACATTTATAAAAGTACATTTTTTTTAAAATATTCCATACCTAATAAATTATTATCGTTTTTTTAAAGTAAAAAATGTATTTTTTTTTTTTTTTAGTATCTAATAATTAGCCAAATACTGCATACATTGGTAAACGAGCCTCTCTCTAAAATATACATTCAATTATATAATATCTCTAAAATCATCATGGACCTAAATAAAACGCAATTGCGTAGCTTTTTTTAGTTCAGAAATTGGTGGAACAGTATAAAATATACTTGTTAAAATACTAACGAAAAAGTTACAATTTTAGTGTCGAGTAAACTTGGCGAAAATATTATTGTTAAACTTGTCGACGAATGCCGCGCTTTTTTGTATTTAAAAGACAAAACGAGATATAAAATATTATTATAATAATATTGTTTAGCGAAAACCACGACTATGCAAACGACAACAGCTGCGGTTTGGTTAATTTTAGAGCACACCTTCGGTCCCTTGCCGAGTCTAATAGTAGTATTTTAAAAAAAGTATATTATATTCACTAGCCTATATAAATGGCTTCGATGCGGAACTGAGAAGGTATTTTTTTTTACAATGACGTGTTGACCGATTTCTTTTATAGCAAGTCTATTGAAAGGTACTTTAAGGGGTCAAAAATTTAAAAAGTTCACCCATTTCCTTTAAAATCGAGAAGAACACCCCAAAAATGTACATATTTTTCAACTTAAAATTACGGCGCTTAATAACTTTTTAAGACATAGTAAAACTGATAAACGTTGATAATCCAAAAAAATATAAACCCTTTCCCCCACAGAAGGCGTAGAAACCTTTTATTTATTTTAATTTTTTTAGGTGTAGTTTCAGGGCTAAAGATATGAAAATTAGACTGAAGATGTATATAAATAATATATCTAGAGTGCGGCTGTAACATACGATTTTCTCAAAAATCTGTAGTCAATTTTTATTAAGGAACCCCCCCCCCAAAAAAAAAAGGAAAATTAAATAGTAATAATGTGTAAGCGAATCAACAAGTATCTGAAAAATATTTTCATTATATATTTGATTACGATACATGGGTAACTAAGTTAACAAATGAAAATTGACAGACAGGTGTTGATAAAATTTGAAGCACATTATTGTCATTACAACGCCTTTGTCGTTATTTTTATACCATACACACATTCGTATCGAAGCGTTCGTTTTCATATTTATAACTTTCAGTTAAAAGTTCGTAAGAGGGTGCGTGAAAAGTAAGGATAAGTTATCAATAATCAAAACATCAAATTCAATAACACCATTACAAAGTCGGAACTTTTGTGCGAAATGGCTCTTATTGTTTACACTCCACCCCTAAGAGATTTGTATGAACCCCACTGCTAAACTATACTATTCTCTGTATGTTCTCGAGTTATATAAATCATCTAGAAAAAATGTTAACAAACTTTATTCAATTTAGTACATCCGTTTTTTCCTCGTACCTCGTAAATAGATGGTAAAATTAATGTGTTGATTGTATGCACAATAAACATGACAAGTTCGTTGAAATCAAACATTTTATATAATTTTTTTTCTATCGTGCAATATAAATAAAACCACTCTTGTTTTACAGTCTTAAAATCGTTCAAAAAATTACAGTATTTTTCGTATATTTTTATTAAATATATATATCAAAATAAAACCTGTTTTTTCGCGCCTCCGCGAGTTATTGTTAGCCGTAAACGACGTGCGATAATAATAAAAACAACATCGGAGAAAAAGGAAATCGCAAGATCAACGTTTAGTGGCGATAACGACGAGATTGCGTATCGAGTTCGAATGATTGAATTGTTATGTTTTATTTATTATTATTACTACCAAGTGGCGAACAGGTGCTTTCAGATAACGGCGAGTACAGTGCCTGGTAGAAACCGACGCTTGGCACAACACTACACCGACTGCTACTGGTGGCAACTGGCAAGTCCCACTCACGCTGTATACGGCGCATACCTGTGGAGAAAACGCGGTTTTACGACGGCACGAATAAATGAACGGCGCAACGCCGGACACGACTCACTAAAACAGTACCATTATTATTTATAATAAAAACATGAAGAAAAAAAAAACACAAACACCGACTGTTTTGTCCAAGACTGACGTGCCTACGAATAATCAAACAAAAGAGCGAGACGAGACCATATAAGACCAATATAATATGTCGGAACGATAACATAATAATTGGATTATCCGCGGCAAAAGCCCAGGGAAATGAATTAAATACAACGGTTGGGCAATATCGCAAACAAAAACACACATTCCTACATCGGATACACGAAAGTCAAGTCAAGTCTAGGTAGACGTGAATATTATAGTAAACGAGGACGAACTGATTATCTGGCTGCGTGTACTCACTGTTGTCCTGGACGAATATTTGCTGTCGGACTTGGTCGCCGGAGTGCAGTTGCCGGGACTACTGCCGTTTTCGCGGGACGAATGCGCCATTAGCCGCAGGCCGGACACGACGCGCAATTGTACTAAATATTGTCGATTGACGAGAACTAGTCGGACGACGGCAGTGTTGTTGTATTGCAACGCACACGTATGCAGCAACAACGAAAAACGGCAAACGGCGAATTGCGTGCGACCGGTAAGTGGGTCCGGATGCGACTGGCCCGCGCGTTCACGGGCGGTAAGCGACGGACCGAGGCGAGCAGGGGTGGGGAAAAAGACAGCGCCGGTGCGCCGCCGCCCGCCGACGACGACTATGCAACTATACACAAACGACTGCGGTACACACCGTATAATATTATTTATACACTGCACTTAATAATAATATGTTTATCACAAAACGGTATACACCCCGTTCGCCGCGACCGTAACTCGTCTTCACCCGACCCATCATCACTGATGTGTAATAATATGCAGTCCCTATTACCGTAAGTACTACTATAGCTAAACATATTATTCCACTGTATCTACTTTGACAATGCTTCATAGCGTTTATGCTGTTATCTTCGTCATATTGCTATTAACCTAGACAAAAGTCGATCATTGGCCCGTCTCTCGTCAGCAATGAGGCCATTAACGGCAAAACGCTCACTACGTTTGACCGTACTGCAAAATCCATCTTCTTCACACTACATTGACAATTAATTATGTTCTTGTATCAACAATACAACAGTTTTCAAATATCAAATAGTAATATAGCGGACAACATCACATTAGTAATATTGTTTTAAGAGGATCGGATACCGACCGTTTTTTAGTCAAAACACGTCATATTATTTTGTCCATCGTACAGGCTTAACCAGTAATCCGGTAAGTAATCTAAACACAGATTTCAGTTTCTTGAGATCCGGTCATTGTACTTTTTTTTCAATTTGAATTCTGACCCTTCCAAATTTGATATTAAATTTTCATAAAATGTTTTTCAACTACGTTTTTTAATAACCTAATAACGGTTTTTTTTCCAATTCCGACTCAGTTTTTGAAGTATTAAATACGCATAAACCCAATAAAACTTTATCATTACTTTTTGGTAAATAACAAACATCAAACATTTGCTGGACTTATAAAACCCCGCTGTTTTTCAAGGTTCGGGTGGTTTTTTTTTGCTTACTATGATGGCGCATAATTTTAAATGTTTTAATTAAATATTTTTCGTACGTTAAAAAGAAGTACTACTTTAAACGATATTCCAAATTTGAAATAAATAGTTTGAAAAGTTGTTAATGGTAAAAAACATATTTAATGCAAATGAGAATATCCCCTAATGTTAACTAGTGGTTGGGTGGAAGAGGTATAGACTTAGTCCATCAAATACAGACCCCCCCCCCACCTCTCAGAGATAGTGATATAGCATACAAATAAATACATAAATTGATAAGGTTAAAACACATGCCCATTATAGCTCTGGCTCTGTAAGCACATAATCTAATATCTTAAAACCATAATTTAGCTGTCATGCGCGGTTTATGAAATAAAAGGTCTATGGCATAAAAATCATAACTAGTTCCTACATTATAATGTTAATTTAAGTATTAAGGGATACATAATATTGAATGAGTAATATTTAAAAACTGTTTATATCGTTCATAAAGATAAAGTAATTTACAAAATACCAAATAATCGAATTTGGGCGACTGTCACAACTAACAATCAGAAAGCGTAGTATGATAAATGTATAGTAGATGTTTAGATAATGTTGTTAGGATTAAAAGTTAAAAGCGTTGATATTAATTAAATTCTTATCTTATCCTAACTCTGCAGTTTTCCATTACACCCAAATTGTTTTACAGTGTTCTTTAACTTGTCATGCCTAGAACAAAATCTATACATATAAATAAAATTGAAGTGCCTGTCTGTTGTTCCGGGCTAATCTTCGAAACGGCTGAACCAATTTTGTTGGAGACAAAATCGCAGTCAACAGCCAGTATTTAATAAAAATCAACCGCAACGCAGTATATTAAACTACATTATAAAAAATAAGAGTTAAAATATGATAATGTATTTTTAAATAATTTTGTTTTTACGACATATTTCAACTTGGGTAGTTTGCGAGTGTCTTAAAGTTTTTAATACATTTTGACTACCAAAATTAATAATAATACTACACAGTCTTAATTATAATATAATTTATTGATTACTAACTGCAGAAAGGGAACATATCTGTAAAAACAAATTTTACAGAAAGCACAAAATACTGTCTAGGTATCCACATTTTAACAACTTGGCTGCCACGCATTTTTTTTCAAAACTTCAATTGCCTGCCACGAGGTTCCCTTTTGAATCAGTGCCATGAGATCCAATATGGGATATTCTCACACGTTTTAAAAATCTTAAAAGCTATGGAAACTCTTTATTTAGATGCTATTGATATATGTGTAAAATATCAGAATCAAACAACATCATAAAAATGAACTTTACCTTTTTTTTGGTAGTTTATATTAAAATGTCATGGTAGTCAAGTTGTTAAAAAAAATTCGATGATATCTTAACTATGTCAAAAGGACCGTATAATGTGTAGGTTACGGTATACGTAGGTTATCAATCAATAATGAATTAGTACTAATCGAGGTGGGGTGGTGAAAGTGACTGGTGGGCAGAGTTGGGCATTATTTAGTTAATTTTTTATTTAAATTATTTTTCGAATAAAAGTTGATTATTTGTATAACCACGAATAGTTATTCGTGGTTATACAAATAATCAACTATACGAATAATGACTAATTTAACTATTATTCGCGTTAAAATTTTCAATCATGATTACAATTTTTGAATATTTTTAATCATTGTTATTCGTAATTAATAATTTGTTTTTTACATAATACATAATAATATTGAATTGAAAAAAAAATGTACTTTTTAAATCTCTAATAACTTTATTCGTGTGTACCTACAAAAGAGTTAATTTTTTAAACATGATTAATTTAACTATTGGTCATGATTAATTTTTTTAATCATGATTGATTCAACTTAAGCCCATGATTAACTTTTTGAATCATGACTAATTTAACTATTATTCGCGTTAAAATTTTCAATCATGATTAATTTAACTATTATTCGCGTTATAATTTTTAATCATGATTAATTTAACTATTATCCATGATTAAATATTTCAATCATGACTAATTTAATCGTACTTCAAAGTTGAAATTTGTATTCATAACTAATTTTATTTGTTATTGTATGATTAAATTAATCATGATTAAAAAGTTAACTTTAGGTGATGACTAAAATGTTTAGTCATCGAGTTAACTTTTAACTAAAATAAAAAATGCCTATCTCTGCTGGTGGGTAACGGATCTTACAGATTATCACATCCCTATGAAAACTACATAAAAAAAACCCATTGGACTAATATTAATATAATTGGTTACGAACACGTCGATTTTTTTTTCGACGAAATTATGAAATGTAACATCTATTTAAAAATATATATATTACTTAGTACTTTCATTAGTCACTGTGAAACCTAATAACAATTAGCCGTACTATTTAAATAAATCGGATTACATAAGGTCATTTACACAGAAATTCGTATTTATGCACTTCTATGTTTCTACAAATATTATAATGGCGAACAACTACTACTTTTTAAGCTCAACCTAAGCCGAGGCTTTTTATTTTATAGAAAGTTTTCATACAAACTTGTACAAAAGTAGCCTAGCCTAAACCTGATATAATCATTCAGAATATCAGACCAATTGTGTTTGTAGCATACGATGTTATTTCTTAATCCAAAAATCTGAACTTCGAATTTTGGATTTCATAATGCTGACTTGATTTTAAATGATTTAAGAACTAATGTTAAGTACTAATGTTCTACTGTACGTTTTACAATAAACATACTATAAAACTACAATTTGTTTATTTCTGGATAATTCATACTTAATACTAATGTTGGTATTTATAGATTTTTGTTACTAATTTCATACAATATAAATATATGTTTATATCATTCTAGCTATAATGATTTCATTAAAATAAATGCATAAACAACGTTCGGATTTAAGTTGGAAAAATCCATACTTTTACCATCATGCTACAATGCAAGCATATAATATTAACGGTTAATGTTATGCTCGCGTCTTGATAGAAATGTGAAACTGTAGAATATTTGTTGTACAATTATTGATTGTAATCAAATCAATGATGATACACGTTATGTTAAATCGAGAATTTACAAAGATAATAAAATCATAAAAAATCGTCAAGGCAAAATAAAATACTATACACATAACACCCCGTCCAAATGCGGTGGACCGCCGTCGTGAGCACACAAAAGAAGGTCGATTGGGGGACCAACCCCTATTCGGTAGATGAAAATATAGTAGTGATGTTTCACAATCAATGCGAGGGATGCGAAAAATCGATGAACCTGCTCCTGAAACTGTACACGTAGTCCTCCAACACACTCGCCTAAGTATAGGCGAGCACGTTAGAACATAATGAGCAGCTTTAAGAGCGCACTAACGAATGAATACTAACGCGCACATACTATTCGAGCGGAATACACAATCAAACAAGCTAATAACCATTTACTAGCTAATCGAATACGTGAGTGAAATCGATTAACATTTAATCTTAGATTACAATAATTAAAAAGATTAAACCTAATCAAACAACAGTTAGGTACACGTCACATTCATCAAAAGCATTTTTAATAATTTAATTTTAAAAATACATAATTTTAAATTTAAATTTAGCGCACAACCCGTGAGCGAATGAATGGTGAGCTGCTAAGTACATTTATTGCGTTTCTGTCGTCAACATATGTTGGTCTAGCTAAATTCACAAAAGCACAATGCATTTTATGTTTTTATAGGTAATGGTTATGGTACACAATAACATGTTGTCTACATCTAAATGCATAGGTAAATAAACATTCTTTTAAACGGCTAAGAGATAGACTGTATACTAAACGTACTCAACATGGCATTCAACTACCTACCGCCAAATGCTTAATGGTCCTACGGAGAAACGAAACGAACCGTTAGATTAAAAAACATAATCATTAGGTACAAAAATATGAACGGTATTCAGGCATATAAATAATCGGCAATTTAACAAATAGTTTTGCAATAAAATATAAAATTAAAAAAACAAAAACCGACGAATTTAAAAAAAACTGGTTTTTATTCATTTGTTTTCACCATTGTTAGAAACGATACTCATAC